TTATTTGAGGCAATGCAGCAGAAAAATACCGAACTACAAAAAGTATTAAACGAGAACGAAGCATTAAAAATAAAGTTTGACTTTTACAAGAGTTCCTTAGACTAGTTTACTTTTTTCCTTTTTATCTCAGGGATAATTCCAAGGAAAAGATAAGGAAGAAGGAGGAGGCTGGAAAGAATGGACAGGTGAGAATATAATATAGAGACGAATTTTTTTCTCACAATATAAGTCATCTCTCTGATAATAACAAGTTCCGAGAAATTCATTAATTTCTAAGAACGGGGACGATTTTATGGTAGAATATCTTATATTCCATATTTTCAACATTTGAAAATGTTGTATTATCTTGAAATATCAAAAGAAAAAAAAACAAATGTAAAAAATAATTTCGACAAAAAATTAATTTCAAAAAAAAGAGTATCACATTTTTAAAACTTTCTCAGATGAGATATGAAACAAAATTTTAGGAAATCGTTGTCTAGTTTTAATATATCCTATTGAGTAATACTCCATGGTATTGCGAGTAAGATATATTTCCGTTTATTTGACATGATATGGCGATGATGATGATTTATCATTTTGATATTTCCGCATATCACTAATAATGATAATTTCGGTTAAACTAAATTGTTATTTTGCAGGAAATTCGTTTTTAGAGATAAACAATAGCAGTAACATCAGTATTTGTGTAGATAAATGAACCCATATCCGTCTTATTTCAGGATAAAGAAAATATTTTTGGATGAAATGCATGAATACACAATCAAATAGACAGATGTAAAAGACGACTTGGTAAGGATCAGAAATAAAATGAAGGAAAAAAGATAATGCGGTAGATTTTGTAATGGAAATTCTTTCACGACCCACTTCATTTATTTGCATGATCATCATCAACATCATTACGGAATAGATGCTCAGAAAAGATTATCGTTCCCGGATAACCGCTCCAAATAATCCAGGATATTCAGAAACAAATGTGTTTTGTTTTATTTGTAGTTAATCAATTTGATCATTATCATAATAGATAATGATCAATTTGATCAAATTGATCAACAATCAGTATAATTATAATCTATGAGATGATCGCAGTAATGTAATAGTAATGATGAAATGATAGATCACTATAATTACGATTATGCTTGTTAAGCTGACAACAATTTTGTGATTCTTCTTATAAGTCTTGTGAATTAATCGTAAGTTTCAAAAATTTATTAAAATTTATTCTCTCTCTCTCTCTCTCTCTCTTTCTCCTCAACAAGATCAAATCTTAAAATGATAATGAAATTTGTTTATTTCCTCTTTAAGATAAGGAAATCTTTTACATTTCAGAATCTATTTATTCCGGGATTCATTGATCGATGAAAGATTGTAGTAAGATAAATCTGTCTGTAGATAATTCAAAATCTTTTTAATTATTCAAATTATGAAATTCTATGAATTCAAAATTATTCATTGCTTAACCAAATTAGAATAAGCAAATTAAATCTTTTGAATTTAATCGCGCAAAATCTTTTGTCGAAACTTTTTAAAAGCTTCTTGCCTTTATTTATTCAATTTAAAAATGTGTTGAAATTTTTAGGGTAAACAATGTTAGGGTAAAAAGTAAAATAAACTTTCAAATATAAAGAAAACAGATCATTTCTTTGAAATAATACTTAATTATAAATTGATAAATAAAACTTTCAAATAGCGAAAATATTAAAATCTTTTTCTCTTCTTATTTTCATCATTTCTTTCATCGATAAAAGTGTTATCAGTAAAGATAATAGGAAAGTTATGAAATAGCATAATGCAATTAAACAAGCAATAATTTTTAATTAGAAAAATTGAATTTCAGAAGTGCTCTTAACTGATAAGAAATGAGTAAATTATTAATTGATTCTTTCAAACTATAAAATTCATTATAATGATAATGAATTGTTTCGAAATGCTAATCACTAAATTACGATTGTTTCACAATAAATGGCATTGAATGTATCATTTGAACAGTACACATATCAGACATAGTTTAAGAGCATTTCTGTAATGTAAATTAATAAAATTAATTAACTAATTAATTAATTAATTTTTTGGAGGTAATCACATAGCTTATCTCTTCATAGTTTGAAAAATTGAACATATTTTTGAAATTGCTATCAATGCATCCATAAAATTCAAATGAGGCAAAATAAGGAGAAAAAGTAATATAAATAAAGGCCATGATATCCTTTGTATCGTTCGGCTGCCATTACGTGTGGACGGATCTGGAAAAAAGAAATTGGTGACAGTTCCGGAATAGAAATTTGAATTTAACATTAAAAGTTGTATTATGTGATGAATTCAAATTTTTCTATTCATATAAATTGATTTTTAAATTTATGTCACAAAATTTATTTGTTAATTTATTTAATTTCATTCATTAACTTATCTTATCTTTCTTATAACTAAATTCCATCGAATGAATAAATTTTAAGATAAAGTTTAGTATTACAAAAATCGTATCACAAATAATGATTATCAGTGGTGGAAAATTTATATTGAAATTGATGATAATGAATTGCTGATAGAAAAATTGATATTTGAACTTCATGATACGATGATATTAAGCATAAGAGGAGAATTATTAATTAAAATTAACTTCATTTAAAATAAAATCTAGTATTACAAAAATCGTATCATTTATTATCAAATAATGATTATCATTGACAGAAAATTTATATTGAAATTCATGATAATGAATTATTGATAGAAAAATTGATATTTGAAATTCATGATAAGATGATATTAAGCATAAGAGGAGATAAGATGATATTGAGCACAAGAGAGAATTAAAATTAGCTTCTTATTTTTTAATTTTCTTTTTAAAAGCTTTTCTGTACAGATGAGAGCAATAATCCATGAATAATATTTTATGTGATAAAATTTGTTTAAGAATTTAGATTAACAATAGAACAATAGAACAATAGATTAAGAATATTTATAATGAGGATTATTATTTGATAATAATTGAGTATGATTTTGTGATACTAAGCTTTATTTTAAAATTTATTCATGCTATGAAATTTAATTATTATTTCCACCGAGAAATTATTACAAAGGACCCAATATTTATTTTTAAATTTAAATTTCAACGCAAATTATTAATTTTGTTCTAAAACAATTGAAGAAGATATATTGGAAATGAGAAATTGAAATAATTGATGGAGTAATTTTAATCAATATAATATAAAATAAATAGAGAGTAAGACAGATGTTTTGCAAATATAAGCAATATGCTAATTCTAATTTTTAACTTACAGTATTAATGATAAAATAATTTTGGTAAATGTTGATAAGAGTGAATAAATTTTATTTAATTTTACTTTGTTCAAATAAAATATTTCATAAATTGTTAATTGAGAAATAAAATTAATTAAATCGATAATTCAATTATCATCCATACTTACTTGTATTAACGTGTAATATATGAGTTGATTCTGGTGCATCAATGGTTTTACACGTATAACTTCCATCATCTTCACTTGAAGCGCTAAGAATCCGTAATGTATGAATAATCGTTTGACTGTCACGTTTTATTTTTGAAATATACTCTAAAATATATCTTTAATTTTTTGATGAACTAAGAGAAATGAGAGAGATATTTTATCAATTTCAAAATTATTTCAAATTAAAATATTCATAAAGTTTACATGAAGATCGATAAAACTTTTTAGTAAATTTTCAATTAGTAATTTAATTTTATTAAAATATTAAATTCAAATTTTTTATTGCCAACTTTTAGTATTTTTAAAATCGATCAATTTTCCATTTCTCCACCATTCCACCCCATCATTTGTATTATTTGTTTCACTACCAATCGTTATCGTACAATTTAGGAGCACTTCATTACCAATCATATTAACCATTAAATTTGTCGTATGCTCTAAAATAAACAAATTTGGAATTGAAATTAAAAAATTTGAAGAAAAAGAATAATTCAAATATTTAATTGAAAATAAACAAACTTTGCAAATGAATCGAAATTTCTCTTTTGTAATTAAAAAGTATTTTAATTAATTTATTTAAAAATTTAATTACTCTTTTAAAAATATTTCATTTATAATTTGACTTTCATTAATTATATTCTAAATTCTAAATCAAAGAAAAGTTTTCATTTTTCTTTTGTTTTTAAAATAAAGCACATTTTTATGAGAAAAGTATTAGCTATGATAATTAAAATAGTTCACCTTTAAATAGCGCAATTATTGATATAGTGAAACAATATATTACTATATTTACAATTGTTATTGATCAAATAACAAACTTATTAACAATGCTAAGGTAAAATGTATAGCATCCTTTGTTTATGCATAGAATTTGAAATTTACGAAAAGTTGGTACTATGAAAATTAAAACAGTTCATCTTTAAATAGCTCAAAGTTGCTACTGTGAAATTAAAATAGTTCACCTTTAAACAGAGCAATTATTGGTATAGTAAAATAATTATTTTTATATTAACAATTATTATTGATCAAATAACATACTGATCAATAATGCTAAGATATTTATAATCTAAAATGTATAGCATCTTTTGTCCTTTGTTAGAATTTAAAATTTCCAAAATTTGTTTATGTATAGAATTTGAAACAAATTTGAAAATCAAAAAATTGGTATTTTTGGAATTTTCTTTTTTTGTTCGATATCGTTGTAAAACGAAATATTTTATATATTCATATTTATTTATGTATAATAGCATCATAAATTCGTCAATATTAGAATATTATTGTGTTCAATAAAGATTAGATTTTTATCATGCAAAATAGCATCGATATGGGAAGAGGAATAATTATGGTACCCGAGGGAGCGGAAATTTATAGATATTTTAGGATATACTCTCTCATAGCAGCGATATATCTGTTGAATCACAGAAATGAATTACAACAAATGTTGTAAAAGTTGTAAAATGTTGTAAAAACAAATATTGTAAAAGCTTATATGAATGAATTTCAAATATCTTCTATTTAAATAAATTTAAATTTCAGAATTTTAAAATTTTAAGAGTCATGATTGAAAATTCTAAAATTTTAATTGATTGCTTTGATAAGTTAAAGCATGAAAATTCATTTCTTTTATAATCAAAGTGATATATTTTATTGCATATGCAATTATTTCTCCATTCAAGAAGTAATCAAAATATAATAATTAAATACTTAAAAAATGAAAATTCATAGAATTGAATTACTTGCTGGTAAAGAGGATGCCTTGAGATTGCGCGTTTCTGAAAAATATCAATAATGTAGACGGAAAAATATATTAAGAGATTTATTATTTAATTAAGATTAAGGGATTAAGAGATTAAGAGAAAAATCGAATTCAAATTAGGGAAAAAAATTTAAATTCAAATTTCAAAAAATTAAACAACCAAATCATAAAGCAAAAGTTTTACAATATAGCCATCATTATTTTGTATTTGTGTTAGGCGAAATCATATCATATCAATATGTATTCCGTAAAGTAATATGATTATTAAAGTAATATGACTAATTATTAGAATTAAAATGATGTATATATCACTCATAATTTCGATATAAGTCATTGGGATTTCTTATTTTTTGGCAATGAGGTTAATTTTCTTTGATTTGTAATGATTTACCGATAACATTCAAATATACGGCATAAATGGTACTTCTTGGTTCGGTATTCACCTCACACAAATAACAACCTGAATCTGATCTTTCTGCTCGTCTGTAAACATCAAATTAGCGAATGTGTTGATAAATAATTAAGCAATTAATTGTTGGAAAAAGAAGTTGAACTATGAAATTTTTAAACTTCTATGATGTATGATAATTATCCATAGAGTATAGTGTTTTAAAATAAGTTTACAGAAAATCATAAATAAATTGCTGTTACAAAACTCGAGCAGAAGTTTACAAGTAACTTATCATACTATGATCCTTGTAATCATACTATGATAAATAATACCATACCACTGCGGTACGCTTAGTTATATTATCATCAGGCTACAGTGGTTTACACGAATAATTTTAATATAAACAATTCTCTTGATTAAAATAGGAATTTAGAAATTTACGATGATAAATATGCGTCAGTAGAGAATTGCTAAATAAATGATTAATATAATGTAAACGTAATTGACTTAATTACTTTTAGATTATATTACGTTGTATTTAAACATAAGACATTATCAATTTACCTAATGATTAATACCCAATCAACTTCAGATTGTTTGAGCGAAATCTGAAATCTGGAATCAGCGGTAAATGATTGCTCACCAGCAGTTAATAAAGCTTCATCACGTAAACGTGTCCACGCAACCTAAAATAAATTAGTGATATGAATGCTACAATTTTTCTTGTTCAATACATTTAAGTTAGCAATAATCTAAATTTTGCAAAAAAAATCATTTATAATGGATAATTTTGCTGCTAACAATTAATTAATTAATTAAATTTCAACGATATAGAAATTTTAATTGAAATTAACAAATATGTAAATGTAAATGCTTTAGTAATAAATGAAATAATCTTTTTTAATAAAAATTTAAATTTCTAAAAAAAACTAAGAGACCATATTTTGCTTTAAATTTGGTATTGTACAATGAAGATAAGCAGGCTCATGCAATGATACTTCAACGATACGTTGCTTCATATCATTCAACATTTGCGTATTTTCATTCGATCGCTCCATTAGCGAACATTCTCGATATTTCTCTTCTATTGTTGATGATTGAATATCTTTAAAAAAAAGAGAGAGAAGTTAAATTTTATTTTGTAATTTGAAATATTACAAATATACCACAAAATTAATAATGTTTATTTCTTTTCTTCCCTTACAACAAAAACAACTAATCGTACTTTTCAAAATGATTTATTATTAATGCGAAAATATTTTAGAAAATATTTGAAATTTCAAAAAAGTTTATTTGACTAATTCTTATTGCCAGCTTCAATTGATTCCAAATCAATTGGAACGAAAAATTGATATACGATGGAAGAATTTCTTAAAATATTTGCTTTTCATTTTTTCTTTAATTTTAAAATTAAAAAAAAAACAAAAGGAAAATATCTCCATGGGAAATATTCATCATATTTTGCAAATGAAATATATTTTGCAGAAGTTTTGAACTTCTTTTTTTAAAGTTAGAATAAAATTTAAATGGTGTAATTTAGTTTAGAAGGAGAAGAAGAGGAAGTATCATATCTGGCAGTAGAAGTTTGCAAATGTTCAGCAAAAACTGTTTGTTTGTTGAAATATTTCAGGAAAACCGGATATTTAAATCCTATATTTCCATTTTCGTTATATAAGTTAGAGCGGTTTTGTTTTTGTCATGAAAATTATTTTCCCATATACGATTCATTTAAATTTTAATGATATTGTCATTTTTTTGAAATGGTTCATTTCCTTATTTTGATTCTATCATAGTATCGATTAATTCCGGTTTAGTAGTATTGATTAATTCCGGTTAATGTATTATAAATTTATGTAAAATAACAGACTACGATTCATTTAAATTCTAATGATATTGTCATTTTTTTGAAATGGTTCATTTCCTCATTTTGATTCTATCATAGTACCAATTAATTCCGGTTTAATAGTATCGATTAATTCCGGTTTAATAATATCGATTAATTCCGGTTAATATATTATAAATTTATGCAAAATAACATACCTTAAAGATATTTATCTCTCTTACCTTGCCTAATAAATTTTTTTTCAAATAATTGAATCATAAAAAGGAATATGAAATGAGTCGATTATTAGGGAGAGAGAGAGAGAGAGAGAGAGAGAGAGAGAGAATGGTTGTCATCATTTTAGCTAAGTGATTTATCTTTTCAAATTCGACATTGTCAATTTAACGATGCATAAGGCTTGTTAGGATATCGAAAAAGGCTAGTAGTCATCAGACTATTGAAAAGGAAACGAAATGAATCAGTCATTTGGGAAAGAGATGCAAAGAGAACAATTCATTTATGATCAACGATAACCCGGGCCTAACAAAAAAAACAATCGATCTCCTCTGATTTGTTCCTTAAGAGAGATTTAGAAAAGTATAAGAAAATATTATATATTCTATTTTCTAATAGCTAATAGCCTAGGATCGTTTGTAAGGCTCAGTCATCACCGAGGATCATTCAAATACCAGTAGAAATTCAAATAGTGCAAAATTATCAGCTTATTTCAAAATGTCTGTAAAATGTTCTTTTTTTTTAGGTGCCAAAAACAAAAACAATTGAAATTAAATTATTTCAAAAATTGGAATGAAATAAATTTTATTTTTAAATCAATTTAATTATGTTATTTTACACTCAAGACAAGATGTGGCAGGAACAAAATGTTAAATGCTAATTCTTAATTGATTTTAATTAATTAGCATTTTAGTTATATGAGTTATCAGTGCACAAAATGACCAGGTAATTAGCAAATAAATCAAGGTGTTAAATTTAATTTCAATGAAATTTAACAACATTAAATTATTACATTGATTTCGTACTTAAACAATTAAAAAATTTTCAATTATAAACAGTTACAAATTTGCTTGTTTAATTAATAAATTAGCAATTAATAAATTTAACAATTTAAATTATAATTACGATTATTAAAATTTAATAATTTAAAATTATTATATTAATATGAAGCGATCATTAAATTTAAAATTATTATAATATAATTTAATAATTTTAAATTATTCAAATATTATTAATTATTGATTTTCTCTAAACAAATTTGATGTATACAATAATGTTAATTGGTGGCATAGGTAGCATTAAATAATGAGATTTATGAAGGCGTAGTTATTAATCTATCCCAATTAACATTTCTATAATTACTAATTAGTCTTCTTGAAATTGATGAAGACAGACAGTCTTACTGAAATAATCCAAATATAACTTTATACCTATGACTCATCAAAATTACGCTAACAAATATTTAAAAAAAAAAGAAATTAAATTCTTAAACTTTTCAATAATTAATAATTATTTTAACATTTCTTTATAATCGTTAAAATTTTTTCAATTATTAAAAAATGGAAATTCTTTATAATTGAAAAATTTTAACTAAAACTTTTCTCTCTCTTTCTCTTTCTCTCTCTTTCTCTTCTCTTTTCTTTTAGATATGAAATTCTTCATAATTGAAAAGTTTTAACTTAAGCTACTCTCTTCCTCTCTCTCCCTCTCTCTCTTCTCTTTTCTTTCAGAAATGGAAATTCTTTGTATTTAGAAAGTTTTAACTAAAGTTACTCCCTCTCTCTCCCTCTCTCTCTCCTTCTCTTCCAAAGCATTCAATCATTGAATATATTAAAGTGAATATTAAATTTGTACAAAATAACATACTACTTTACTTTATATTAATTACAGTTCACAAAGGTATCGTTAGTTTAAAAAAACAAAACGATTAGATTTTAAAAATAGCTTTAATACAAATATTTAAATTTCAATCATAATGGATTATTTAATTTTCATTTCATTTCATAAGCTTTATATAAGCCTTAAAAAATAATCAATTATTTCATGATGAAATTTTAAATTATTCTCACTTCCATTCTATGCCTCATTTTATATTGTTTTAAAATCTCTTCAACAGCCACTATTAATGAGCCTATCCGGTTTAAATGATAAGACTAATCCGGATTAATTGGTGAGTTTAGACAGTTAGCTGATAATAATGATGTTCTGGCATTTAAAAGCTAATAGGTAATGAAGTAAAAGGTAAAAATAAGCAAAAATTTTTAATGATATATTCATCTGTTTCTAAATTCATCAAGTAAAATTTACCTGACGCTGATGTAAATTATTTTTCTTTCATCTTTCACCTTTACTCAGACCGGTAAGATCAAAGAAAAAAGATTCATTCCAATAATTTCAAATTTTAAAAATTTAATAAGAAGTTAAATTTAGGATGTTTTAAGGATGTTGAAATGAATAAAAAATTTGTGGAATTTTTGAAAGAATAAAATAGCTTATCCATTATTATAATATATATAATATATATATATCTCATAATAATTTATGAATCGACTGCTTCTATAGACCAGTTCTTACCTTTATTGCATAAATAAATATAATATATAAATACTCTCAATTTATGAATCGACTGTCTCTATAGATCTTTTTTTTACCTTTATTGCATAAATAAATATCAATTAATTTGAACTTCAATAGCTGCCGTACAACGATCTATTTGTGACCTTACTGACAGATTGATATTAATATTATTTTGCCAAATGAATAATTTCTCTCAAATGAGCAATTCACTTTTTCTTTTTTCCTCAGCAGTTATTACTACTTTATGAAATTGTTTCATTACAGAAGATTATTTCTTTCTCTCTCTCTCCCTCCCTCTCTCTCTCTCTCTTTCTCTCTCTCTCTCTCTCTCTAGAAGAGAGTAAAATAAATTTTTGCGAAGGAATTTGAAATAAATTTTGATATTTATTTTTTCACTTTCGTTGCATGCAAAATTCTTCTCCTCATCATAAATAGAAAGGTGCGAATAAAAAAAAGATTATGAAAAATTGAGAGGGCTTTTTCATTTTTTCTTTTCGAATAATTAATTCAAAAATATTTAGAAGAAAACAAAAGAATTTAAGATTAGCAATTTATATATGAAAGATTATGCAATGTCAATAATTACTCTCTAATCTTAACGGGGAAAGTTTGATAATTTCAATTCAGTTTATTCATTAAGTCTTTTAGTAAATATTTTGAGTTAGGAAATGATTTCATTAAAAAGAAGCGAAACTCAACCAATTGAATAATTAAATCTTTCACTAAGATAATTGTATATTTAAGTTAAAAGAAAATTTGATAATTTCAACTCAATTCAGTGATTAAATCTTTCAGTAAATATTTTGAGTTAGGAAATGATTTGATTGGAAAGAAACGAAATCCAACCAATTCAATAATTAAATCTTTCACTAAAATAATTGTATATTTAAGTTAAAAGGTGATTTGCAGAAGAAAAAACTCAATCATTATGATTTAATTAATAACTTCTGATATTGAATAAATAATTTATCGATTATATGATAAATTAAATTAACAATGAATGGAGAAAAGCAGAAGCTATTTAGGAAATTATTAGCAGAAAAATTTAAAATACTACTAAACGTATTGTTTCAAATTTTGATAATAAAAATGATTAATGATAATTATTGAATTTAAAATAAAAAAATTTTTGGGATATATTTTACAAATACAAAAAACTATTTATGGAACTTTAAATTGAGTACCATTCAATTGAAAATTTATTTCGCTTTGAGATAAATTCACGGAAATAAGTCTAAAAAGTATGCTTTCTTCCTTATTTGATATAAATTATTGTTGAGGTATAATTGATATTTTGTTTAAATTTATAATTAGGTCTTTTAAAACAATAGAATGTGATGTCAGCCAAAGGAAGAAAAAAACGAAAGGAATAAAATTAATCAAACAAATAACGTTATTAATTTCTAATTATTCGCTACAATAATTTTCATCAAATTATTATTGTAGCGAATAATTTGAAATTTACTTCAAATACAAAAATTAAGTCATATGTTTAACTGATATTAATAATTAATTAATTAATTAATAACACTTGTTTTAATTAATTAATAATATCTGTTTTAATTAATTTGTTAATTAAAATATCTATCTTAATTAGTTAATTAATAATAATATCTGTTCTAACTAATTAATAGACCATAATAA